AGTGTTAACTGTATCCCTACTTTTGGCCCACCCTGTATATTAGTTTCTCTAATGGCAAACGTTGCCAAGATATTTTTTCTGGAGTATTGGAATATTTCCTTTACTGTTTTTATTTTCTCCTTCTTTATGTTCCGAAATATTTTCTTCCACATTTCACAAGGATATTCTCCTATTCTTGAGACTAACGTCGTATATTTGCTATTCTACCTCTGTTAATAACCTTCCCAATAACCCTCTAGAAAAATTGACAGTTTCGTGTTCTATTTTGTAATCGTCTTTTCTCTCAGCTAACCACCATTTTCTCTCTCTCTTGCTGCTTTTAAAGTTTCGTTATTTCGATACTTACAATGTTCGTATTTTCTCAAATTACGACGTCATTTTCACAGTTTTATACCTAAGAGCTTCACCTCTCTCCCTACGTTCACGATATCCTGCGTTCTTCATTTAGTTTACTTGTCTCTATGTGTATATAGCATCTTTGACCAGCCTATAGCCCTTACGTTATCAACATTGGCCAAAGTTTGTGATCTAATTGTATAGAATAGGGTTAATAAAAACATTATGTTATAAAATATAGTTTCTTTCACTGTTGCAGACTTATTTCAAAAGTGTTATATGATCTCATGAGATGTCTGATACAACTGTTTCTAACCGATATTTCTATTTTTGAAAAAATATACTTACAATCAATCATGGCACGCTGCTTAGTAATAATTTCGTCACATAGCTGGCGCTGCTTATCAAATCGGGCGAGAAGGATGTCACGTTGTCGTAGCTCGTGCTCTCTAAGAATTTGATCCGCCTGCATCTCCATTTCTGGATGATGTTAAGTCAAGGATAACGAAATATATTTTGTATTTTTAAACATAATTTATTTTAATTAAAGATTCGACACAACAATGTAGATTTTAATACTGCCCAAATATATCCTTTAAAAAAAACATTACGTTCCACAAAAAAGCTGGTGAGTTCTGCAGTTTCGGGATAAACAAAATCTTACCAGTCCAGCAAAATCAATCATAAAGAAGTAAACAAAATATAACCGGTCCAGCAAAATCAATCATAAAGAAGTAAACAAAATCTAACCGGGCCAGCAAATCAATCATAAAGAAGTAAACAAAATCTAACCGGTCCAGCAAAATCAATCATAAAGAAGTAAACAAAATATAACTGGCCCAGCAAAATCAATCATAAAGAAGTAAACAAAATATAACCAGTCCAACAAAATCAATCATAAAGAAGTAAACAAAATATAACTGGTCCAGCAAAATCAATCATAAAGAAGTAAACAAAATATAACTGGTCCAG